CCCCCCGGTCTGCCCGTGGAGGGGGCAGGGGCCATTGACACCTCTCGCAGCTCCTGCGAGCCCCTCCGGCTGCCAGCCTTGCGACACCCGCCGTGGGGATGCTGCAGGTGCCTCGCTGGGATTCATCCTTGCTTTAGGTTTTTCTCCTGGAAAAGTCTGGGCGCACCCATGTTGCTGCAGAAACAACAATACGACTTTGCTAACAAAATCCCCTGTTTTAATTACTCCTGCTACTGCAAATGGTGAGGGAGGTGTGGAAACCCGATGTCGATTCTCTCCTGCCTTCAGCATTAACGATTCGTCCCGACGCGGAGCAGCTGGACGGGCAGCGGCAGCCGAGGCAGGGGCAGAAAGCCACCTTCTATCCCAGACTTCCCAGGCTACGCTTTGTCTGACGTAACAGAGCACTCCAGAAAGAGACATTCCGATCTGGCTTTTCAGCTCATTTAGGGATCTTTCCCATGATAATCTGACACTAGGGCAAACCTCCTCAGCTCACTGAAATAAAGAGTATTTTTGTCCGGGTAGCTTCACCTGCCCGGTGTGCTGACAGGTATGTTTGGAGCCGGAACTTCACCTCCGTTTTTCTCCTGGAGTAAGACACGATTGCGTGTTTAAACATCAATGTGCCACCACGAAATCACTGTTCTGCCACAGAACCGGTCTCCTGATTTTGAAATGCATGAAAAATAGTCTCATCTGTGCGTGTGCTCGTGAAGCAGAGGCAGGATTTACTAACAGTCAGACTTCTGTTTGAAGGCGAGTGCGACACAAACAATATGCAGTTATTTGTGGTTATGTTCAATGGGAGGTCATGTAAAGAGCGTCTTAGAATTTTTAATGTGTTGTTTGAAGTCTTAATTAACACCTCATGATTTTAATTGTTGCCTTGTGGTATTATCAAAATATCATAGATATTCTAAGCAACGTGTATTTTTATGACACAGCGGTTAAATAGGAAACAAAGATGAAAGAAAAGGCAATCTCATGTTAAGGAGGAAGATGCTGTCAGCCTCGGAGCGCTGTGGCAGCTCCGCGTCCCGCAGCCGGTCTGCGGGAGCTGATCCCTCCTGCGGGCTGGCCGGTCCGAAAGGCTCTGCCGGGGGTCAGGGCTGGGGGTCTGGGCTGGCACGGGGGCCCGACGGTCCCTCTCTCCGAGCTGCCACTGCACGCGGCGGGGACAACCACGAGCTCTGCCCCTCCGTCTCACCC